CTGGATACACTCCACATAGGGAGTGTTTATTGTGATGGTGCGGATCTAAAGCCGCAAGGCCGTGATGTGACTGGATACACTCCACTATAGGGGAAGTGTTTATTGTGATAGGTTGCGGATCTAAAGCCGCAAGGCCGTGATGTGACTGGATACACTCCACTATAGGGGAAGTGTTTATTGTGATAGGTTGCGGATCTATATCCGCAAGGCCGTGATGTGACTGGATACACTCCACTATAGGGGAAGTGTTTATTGTGACTGGATACACACCGTGGACGTGTTATAAAACTGCTAGTAAATCCCTTTATTCAATTCACGGAGCTGGACAAAGCCCTTATGGCAACAGATAATGCTGACAGACTGCCTTTGGTCAATGGTTTAAAACTAGGGATGGCTCTATCTGAATACTAAGGGTCTCTGACCTGGCATAAAATAACATTCAGGTTGAAAATACCAATTAAAGTTCATTTACCCTAAACTGATAAATATTCACAATAGATTACTTGTTAAAACATGTTCAGTTGAAATTGTGATTACCATGATTTTAGGTAGATTAGCTTTATAAATACCCGCAGTGGATTACCTGTAAAAATATATCTAGTCTAAAGCGTTACTACCATTACCTGTAAAAATATGTCTAGTCTAAAGCGTTACTACCATAATACCTGTAAAAATATGTCTAGTCTAAAGCGTTGCTACCATTACCTGTAAAAATATGTCTAGTCTAAAGCGTTACTACCATGACCTTTGATAGATTAATCTTACAAACACTCGCTGTAAATTACGTTTATAAATACTCGCTCTATGTTACCTTCAAAAACATGTCCAGTCAAAAGCGTTACTATTATAACATGTGTTCCCATGAAAGCTCTATCGTATATGTCCGCTAAACGGGAGGTTCGATAATATATAGTTATCACAGAACAATGGTAAATAAATGTTGGCTGCGTTTAAGCTTAATATTAAAAAGCAGACTGGACACAATGTACACAGAAAATAATCTTTATTAAACCGAAAACACAAATTCAAAGTGATTCTGTACTTGCTACTTATGTGAGACCGTCGCTTTTTTTTCAGATGTTTCTCAGATTCAAATCAGAGTCAGAGTCTTAATGACATAAGAATCATCAGGATCATCCTTTGGACTGACTAAATGCACGCTTTTCTGCTCATTACTGAACCTCGTTTTTACCCATTGCAACTGCTCTACCACGTGACTTGTCATATTCCTCCACATTGGTCGAACTTTGATCTCCAAGCTTTACCTGTTCGGCGTGAAGAGAACATCATCTTGGATATCTGAACCAGATTTATAATATCTCGGCAGACAGTACAGATATCCCTTTCATGGAAGGTGACATAAAAACCAAAATAACTTGAAACCAGATCGATTTGATGGTTTCTTTGACACTGATTCGTGTGCTAAAAGTGACAAATATTCATAACTAGAATCAAATTTAGAATAAATAATAATACTACAGAAAGATAGAACCCTAAAGTATATCCATATACCACAGTTTCCCGTCTTTCTTACCTTAGGCTGACTCAGGCCAATAATTACCTTTAACTTAAAAACCAAGAACTTTAACCTCACACAGGTCTATAATTACTTAAACAATTCACAGATGTCACAAACATTAAACAATGAAATAAAAGAACAACCCTTAAATAATTAGTACATGAATACCCTTTAGACATACTTTCTAACACAAATTACAATACAAAATTTAAAATAACATTCTTTAAAATAAAAAACATACTTTACGGACATAAGCCCTTTAACAATGAAAGATACATTACAAAATAAAAAGAAATTTAATAATGAATGCATGTTAATACAAACCATTGAAAAGTGAAATAGTAACGCATTACCAACCCCTTTAACCAAGGTAATACAATCACTAAATAAACCTTTTAACAACAAAAAAATACAATACAATTTTTAAATAAAACCTTTTAATACAGATCCACGTACACATACATACATATATACCAAATACTATTAAATACTGAAAAGATGATACAATGGAACTAAAAAAACTGTTCTTCAACAACGATTACCATAAAACAAAGTAATAGTATCACAAGTACAATCATACATATACACAATATTACGTTGCAGTACAAACCCTTTATCAAAGAAAATCAGTACAAAATTAAGTCAAAACTACGTTAAAAATGCAGAGGTATAAAGTATAGACAATGCTGTACACACACCTATCAAACGCAGCCAAGTTCAACAGAGTGCCACCAACAGTTCCCTAAAGACTGCCTTTGACCTTTTGTTGGCAGCCCAGTGTACAATATTTATTTCCTGCACTTTAGTCAGGGTCTTTTTCATTTCTACCAATTAAGCTTGCAGACACTGCATCGTTTTCTCACACTGCAATGGAGGTTTTGACACCTGATGTAGCTGGTCTTCCTCCCCCTTATAAAGAACCCCAGCTTCTGTCCACTGGGCTTCTATATTTAGGTAATAGCACTTGAGTACAAGGAACTGTAGGAGGGTGAGCTGCTCCATAATAGTGGATGGTGGGTTGGATGACAGTTCCACCTTGGGATGCATCTGGACAGTCTATCATGCCCTTTTTTACTGATGACTAACTGCCAGTAGTCGTTAGAGTCCCTCACTTTTCCCATGTGGGCTTGTAGTTCACAGCTCTGTTGGTTTGAACTACTGCAATTGCCACTTATGGAGCTGATGGCATAGCTGCCTTTTTCTTTTTTCCTGCTTAGCATCTGGTCACCCTAAGGAGAAATGAGTGGATGAAGTGATCTCATTGGATATGCATGCACATTTGATGTGGATGATGTCTCTTTGAAAGATGCCCCCACTAAGCACCAAAGCTATTGTTTCCCTTATAACAATCAATAGAAATACTGCCTCTATTGTTGAAGTTGAGGGCTTTCTGTGGACTTTCTGTACAGGTACAGATGGGCTGCTAGAACACAGTTCTCATCCATATCAGGTGACTTGTCCACAGGGGATTCAATGCAAGTTTGTCCACAAATTTCACAAGATCTCTGACACTGGAAATATACTACAAGTAATGCTTCCTTATCTGCCAAGCCAAAAGTCAGACCAGTCCCTGGTCTTCGTGGGTTTATGGGGATGTTCTGCACCTTGCCTAACAATAAATATTATCCAGAACTGGCTTCTATGCTGAATTCGATTAGTCTACTCTTTGACTAGCTACTTCCCAAATACTCCAGGGAAGCCTGCAGAGCAGTTTTTCTAATCAGTCATGTGCTACCTCTATCTGTGTGATGTTAACTAACTGTAGTTTAAACCAATTAAACATCTAAGCATGCTCCACCAACATGCCACTGTGTTGATTTTTGAATGTCTGCACAATCTTCAACTAGTGATCTCAGGTGCGTTACTATGCTAGTGTTTAATTTTGACTGCAACCCTAGTATTGCTTGTATCAGCTACTCCCACTATGCCAGTGATCTTTTCTGCTTGCAAAACAACACCAGGACTTTATTACTTCTTGGTCAAATACTTACTTGAACTAATGCTGCTTGCATTTTGAATAGGAAACAGCCTTTTACATGCATGGGCTCAATAACTGCATTGAGAATTACCACGAATTACTACCTTTTTATATGGGGATACTTTAAATTTCTCACCCACATATACTATTAGGTCGTCAAGAAATTAATGTTGCTTTTTTAGATATATCAAAACAAAAAATTTATTGAATGAAATAGTCTCCATTCTTATCAATGACGCTTTTCCATCTTACAATCAGGTTGTTAATACCCTGATTAAAGAAATCACTTGGGTTTGAAGCAAAAAACACGTCGATGTCCTCTTTAACACCTTCCACATTTGCATACGTTTTCCCATTAGGATGGTGTTGCAGCGAACGAAGAAGATAGTAACCTGATGGTGCCATATCTGGAGAATATGGTGGATGGGGGAGAACTTTCCAACCCAACTCCATAATCTTGCGTTGCGTCAAACGTGCCACATGTGGATGTGCATTGTTGTGGAGAGGAAGAACACCTTTCCGATTGATGAGTGAAGGGCGTTTCTGATGATGGGCTTGATTTAAACGTTCCAGTTTCTGACTATATATCTCTGAATTGACAGTTTGCTGTGGATTGAAGCGTTCAAAATTAATTACTCCTTTGATGGCCCACCAAATGCAAAGCATCACTTTCTGCGGATGGAGTCCAGGTTTTTGGGTCGGAAGTGGTATTTGTCTCGGACTTAGCCATTGTTTTTGGCATTTAATATTTGCATAGAGAATCCATTTTTCATCATTGTGACAATACTGTCCAAAAATGGTTCATGTGCATTACGTGCCATAAGAGACAAAGCAACATTCGCACGTTGGAAGCAGAGATCATGAGGTACCCAAACATCTTTAAGGAGTCTTCCCATATTCCTTAGCTGTTTCCATATTGTTTCATGAGAGACATGCAATTTCAGGACCATTTCACGAGTGTGTTACCTTGGGTTAGACTCAACAAACGTCTTCAGGGCATCAATATCAATTCCAACATGTCGGCCCTGCTATGATAGTTTTTAAGACTAAAGTTACCTGAGCGAAATTTGCTGAACCATCGTTGACACTTACGAATGTTCAAAACATTTCCGTAAACTTCTTTGATATTGTATGTGGCTACAGAGGCGTTGTTTCCCTTCTTGTATTCAAACAGCATTGCATGCTGAATGTGTGTATCATTGTGTGCCATCATTATAAGGGATTAGAGTATTCAAAATTTACACATTATATAGGCTGCACTAACATGACGTTTAGGCGGTTCATTTAACTATTATACCTGATATATGTTTTTTGGGGGTGGTTAATAAAGATATTCCAAAACACAACATTTATTTCTTGATGACTTAATATTTCTTGGAGCTACTAACTAGCACGGAGTGCTCTTATTGTGAAACATCAATTCACCTGCGGCACATACAGAACTAACTGATACACTCTGCAATACATCCATTCCAAGAATGCTGATGTCAGAACCGAGGTTAGCAACAACTAGTTTTTGTTATATGAGTGACCTTTTCATTTAAGACTAGTTTTTCTTTATTCACGAGAACAAAGTTCTGTCTATGGGTGGTGGTGGTTTTCCTCGAAGTACCAGATATACAATGAGATCTACCTGTGTTCTGCCTAATCCTGTATCTACCAGAAACTGTTTCTTGCCATTGTATTCCAACAGGCATATGCTAACACAGCTCTGAAAGGGTCAGGCTGACCACCATACTTTTTGGTTCAAATATTTTGTTGCACATCCCCCAAGTAAGTTGCTAAATCCAACTTTGTCTCCTTTACTTTTATGGAACAACATTTGCAATATTTACTGTTTACTGTTTGCCCTAGAATACCTGCTGTCTTGTCGGTAGAACTTATAGCCAGATCCCCCTTGTTGTTTAGCAAGGTAGGGATAATTTTTCCAACAGTGAACCAACTCCAAGCAAGCCCCTCCTGTCTAAAGTGATGTACACATGGAGGTATTGGTGGATGGTATGTATGCCATGAGAGGACTGGGATAACCCTGTCTGTTCTCTGGAAACCATTGTGGCTACTCTGCAACTCTGGTGTTCATGGGTGTTTCGCCAACCTATGGCTGATTTCGGCCCTGATACAACAACATAAACCTGGAGAGAGTCCTGCTTGAGGGTCCAACTGTTCCGAGCAGTTGATGTTTGAAACTTTTCATAACCAGTCCAAATTCTCTTTTGCTGATCCTTTGAATATTGGAGGAGTAATTTGTTTAGCCTCACTCATGGAGACCCAGGGGTATAACCAAACGGTATCTCTGTCAACTTCTCAATCACTACCTGATCACGAGGTTCTCGACGTTATTGGTTCAGGTGCCCCTATATCTCTAAGGTCAGAGGACTCCTGAACGTCACATTAGTGTAGCCTATATAATGTGTAAAGTTTAGTATACTCTAATCGCTTATAGTGATGGTACTCAGCGAGACACACATTCCGCATGTAATGCTCTTTGAATACAAGA